ACTGCCTGGGTTTGGATCACAGCTCTGCTCCTAATGTCTGTGTGACCTCTATAGTCCTTTGTTTCTTCATCTGTGAAAACAGGATATTAGTACCAACCTATAGGGTTGTTATGAGGATTAGATGAGTTAATAATGAAAACCAGTCACATAATGCCTGATTCATAGGAAGTTCTGTGTGAGTGCTTGATGAAGAAAATAAAACGGATAAAGGTTAGAAGAATTACTGTAAGAAGGAAGGAAGCACCAAGCACAGTATTCCAATGGGGGTTCTTCCGAAATCAAAACAATACAAGCATGGCAGCCACTGAGCTGCTGAAATAGAAATGCTGCGTCTTTATTCAGTCAGCGTGAACAGAGACTATTTTGTGCAAATTTTCATTGCCTTGTCCATTTACTGTCTGCTTTTATCCCTGTCACACTGTCTCCACCTCCTATTCGGTGTTGATGGGAAACCAGCCACAGAATGTGAAATTAAACTGGGGTTGAGAAGAGCAAACTCCTTTCCGAATAGAGTATTTCAAACGAGAAAGAGGACCTCGGCTCTCTGATATATTTCACTGATTCTGTGAATGTTATCAATGAAGTTTCACACTAAAAAGAAAGCGCATTTTCTGTTTCTATTTAGGAAGATTTGCCAAATTAAACTCATTTATTTTATTAAAATAGAAATTAAAGTCATACCAGGATAGTTTTAAAGTATAAGGCAATTCTTAAAGGATTACGAATAACAACCAGGTGTTTTCTAATTATGCTCCGGTGAACTTCAGAAACTTGCCAAAAATTCGCATTGCTCTAGTATTTGTGTGCCTGCCCAGTTTGGATATTTTGCATGTGTGCATCCATATATAAGTGCTCTCTTTTGCACAGACACCCACATGCCCCATAAATGCCATTTGAGTACTTATCTAAATAGACGAGTACTTGTTAAAAATAAAAATGTTCTGACCAAAGTAGTTGCATAGAAATGGAATTTCATCCACTGGCATCAAAGAAGAAAATATGACTTGGCCCAACAATTTGCACATAAGCAATAACTGTTAAATCTAGTATTTAAAATGCAATAAATTTGAGTTTGGTTGTTTTTTACATTAATTTTACATGCATAATATAAAAATGGGAATTATAAAGCAAAAAAAATTAATAAAGATTAGAATAACCATTTTCATAGAGCTATAAGTGGGAAACAGGTTCCCAATCGCATGGCAGTGGAGGAACGAAAGCCTTTAAAAACACCCTGCTTCTATTTCTTAAGCCAAACAATGAAGATTATTAGATGAAGCAAAAAAGAGAACAAAAAACCAGGAGTCAAAAGACCTGCATCTGATCCTACATTATCATTGGGCATATGACCTTTAGTACACCCACAGCCACAGCCTCAATTTCCCCACCTATCCAAAAAGATCGTTGGACCAAAAGACTTCACAAAAATGGAAAGCCATTCTTTTTTTTTTAAAGAAAAAGATGACCGGTAAGGGGATCTTAACCCTTGACGTGGTGTTGTCAGCACCACGCTCTCCTAAGTGAGCCACGGGTCAGCCCATGGAAAGCCACTCTTATTATAGGCTTTATTGACATGAATAAAGCCACAGCCGTCATCATATCCTGGGATTCATAAAATCCCCTTTTTCTTAACTGAAGAATTTCTCCAAGGTTTTTGGTAACATACTTTAGAAGCAATCCCTCCCAAACAATGGGGTGACTATTCCCACCTGAGGTTACCTCCCCAGCAACCTGGGGCTAATTGTATCTTTTGTGCTTGGGGCAGGGAAATAAGAACAGTGAAGGACTTGAAACCCTACTAGCGGTTTAGAGTTGTACCTTGCTTTCTAGTTGTTGTCCTACGCAGGCTATTATTTATCAGTAGTTCATATAAATTCACATGTTACAGATTGGATAACAAGCGCTGAATAAGATGCACTAACGTGAATTTCCTTTTTTCATCCCAGTGGTCAAAATCCAATTCCTATGCAAATGCTTTGGCTAGAACATTCTTATTTTTAACAGGTATAAGGCTTCTACTTTAATAGAAAGATTTGGAATCACTGTTATAAATTACACCAAATTCCTCTAGAACAGAACTGCCTTATCTCATTCTTATGTACTAAGACTCACTTGAGGGCTTAAAGAAGTTTATTTCAGATCTCCCAAGGATTGACAAAATCCATAGAAACCAAAGCAAACCACTCACTAGTCCACTTCCTAACGTCCCAGGAAAGAGATGCTTTTTTAGTGCTCAGAGTTCAGAATTCATTGACCTAAAAATTGTTAACTGACCTACCCAATGTTATTTACTAGAAGAAATGATGCAATTGGCCACTATTTTTATTTTGGGGGAAGTTGGTTCTCTGGATGCCCACAGGTCAGACAAGACCTCGTCATACATAACTATTAATCCCCCGATGTATGGACAGCTTGTTCCCACACTTTCCTCAAATCTCTCTTTAAGTATCACCTTTTGAGAGAAGTCTTCTCTTTTTTTTTTTGTCTTTTTTTTTTCGTGTCCGGCAACGGATCGCAACCCTCAGTGTCGCGCCCGTACTGGACCGGGACTGGCAACGGGATCGCAACCCTCAGCGCTGCACCCACACCTCGCTCAGCCAGTGAGTGGGAACCGGTCTGTATGTGGGATCCGAACCCTCGGCGGGAGCGCC